ACCCCCCAAGCCACCCAGAATGCCCCCCTGGTTTGCGGCTACAATCTAAACTCCGCCAGTCAAGACAAAATATTTCAAATGAAACTACTGTGGGGTCCGAGGCAGATACGCAGTCGGATGGTGGCCAGGGCTGGGAGACACTAGAGCGCTAGAACGGAAGATGGCGGCGGAGCTTTGGCTGGGCCGGAACCCTGGGTGACCTCGCTCAGCTTTCTTGTCCTGGTATGAAAAGCCAGGCTAATGCAGTGCCTCCTACAGTCACCACAAGGACAGGAGCTGATGCCTGGAAACTTGGAGCACAGTGAGACCTCCCGACTAACTGGTGGCCGCGGTAACGACAAACACACAGCCTTCAGACGCCCCTCCCCTCGCCCTCACACAGCGGGAACTGTACCAAGTCATTTCCGAATCCGGACACATCCTGAATCCCGCATTACACCAACCTCACGCCGACTTATTTCCTCTGGAAGACCAAATGCAGAGACACATCCTAGTTAGTTAGGGTACTGCTTAGTCAGGATTAACCAGCCTCCTGATCCACAGGCTCTTTCATCAGCGAATTCTAATAATTAAAGAAACCACTGAAATAGGTAGAAATTAAGGAGTTTTCCTGAAACATCCTGATTTTGTTCCAAGGCTCTTAATGTGGGTGAAGGCCTCTTAAAAAATGTTTAGGTCTCAACAGTATAGATTAAAATGATAAATTGCAGAGAACGCTGCCGATGGAAAAGTGAATTTATGTTTGCTTGCATGGGCGACTTCTACATTCTCTGTAATGGATTTTACATAATAGGAGCATGTATTTGGTGACAGTAATAGGCCCGCTCACGCAGCTGGATCTACGGCACCTCTTCATCACTGTCAGGCTGAGCCAAACCTGGTTTCCGTCCCACATGGAAGAGGCCCCACTTTTCCAAAACACCACACCATGCACGAGCACTCATTTAGAAGACTGTTCTCCTCAGTAGATTATCAGTGTTTCATACAAAACAAATCTCTCTGCAGACACCGGCACACACCAAGCAGCAGGAGCCAGGGACACGCGGGTTCAAATTCTAGACCTGCTCACTGGTGGCGGGCACGTGACTTCCCCCAGCAGCTGCAGTTTGCTCTTCTGCAAAAACAGAAATAATTTCCCTCGGATAGGACTGTCACGAAGGTTAAATTAGATATTATACCTAAGAGTGCCTCACAGAACGGGCGCCGGCGTGGAAGCCGCTGATACATTGTGGAAGCAGCTGATAGATTGTGGAAGCCGCTGATACATTGTGGAAGCAGCTGATACATTGTAGCCATAATTATGTGCATGCAGATTGGAGAGCACTCACCGCTTCCCATGTTGTTTATTCCTTCAAGGGTGCACTTTTACGACAACTATATTTGAACACTGATCTGCTGTGGTCTGGGTTTACAATGAAATCATCTTCATAACAAAGACCTTGACATTTCTCCAAACCTCCTTTAGCTGGAATCCAATAGGAAATTCCTATGTGTACAGGTATATGTATTCTTATTTCACATGTAACAGTATATTTCCAGATTGATTTTATTGATGTTGTAATGGCTGACTTGGATAAAGTCCAAAGCACCTGACCTTTGCTTTAGCTCGGCTGGTACAGCGGCTCGCAGCAGGAAGAGAGCACAGCGGATGCCGTGGCGTGAGCATTACACCCTCCCTCCATGCAGCACGCAATTGGACTGACAGAGGTGGCGGTGCTGTCAATGTTTCATACATAGCAGATGCTCCATAAAGAAAGACTCAATGAATTTAAGTTGGCAAGTCATGTCCTAGCTGGTTTGGCTCAGTGGGTAGAGCGTCGGCCTGTGGACTGAAGGGTCCCGGGTTTGATTCCGGTCAAGGGCACATGCCCAGGTTGCAGGCTCAATCCCCAGTGTGGGGCGTGCAGGAGGCAGCCAGTCAGTGATTCTCTCTCATCGTTGATGTTTCTATCTCTCTCTCCCTCTCCCTTCCTCTCTGAAATCAATCAAAATATATTAAAAAATAAATAAATAACATTGGCAAGTCATCAAGAGAAAATTTTTATTTTAAATACGTTTAAAAACTAACTGCACTTCCAGAAATAGGAAAAGGAGTTAATGGTGAAGCAAAGTCTCAGGTGTGATAAACCCAGAAAAACATAACCCTCCCAATGCCGACCGGGGAAGCAGCGCCCAGAAGTCAGCGCCCAGCCGTCTCATAGCAGCTGTTTAGGATGCTCAGAGAAGAGCTGCGCTTCCGCTCCAGGGGACCGCCTGGCTCTGCACTGTCCTCACTGCAGGACCTCGGTCACCTTGCAGAGCCGCCTTCTGGCGAGGCCGAGGGAGGCCACAGGTGCCTCGGTACCGCGGGCTAAAGCTTTGCAGTGTCCTGCCTCCTCTTAGCTCACTGGATGCGGGCGCCCCCATTCCTTGTATGTTACGTAATTCCACAATTCGATAAACATCCGATTGCTCACCGTGTTCCATTTTTTAAGCAAATGTAAAAATGATGCCTCCTCCCTTTCTGCTGACAGGGCCCCTCCCCCGAGGTGACCTCTCCCCCCTGAGTCTCACAGCTGCGCTCTGCACCTCCGGACACCCCTCGGGTGAGAGTCTCCCCTGCGCCCTTTCGCCCCGGGCCCCCCTGCACCCGCCCCTCCCTGGGTCTGGTCTGTGTGCCCACCTCCTCCCCGCTGTGCACCCATCTGCAGAATCCTTCTGGAACCGTCCACAAACCGCTGCCCTTTAAGCACCCGAGTCCTGGAAGTCAGTGCCCAGCAGCCTCACATGTATTCCTGAAGGTGGTTGCTAGTGAATGACTTGCAGTGCGACACAAGGAAGACATGATGTTGTTTGTAAAGGAAAGCGATGTTCCGAGCGCCGGCTGTTGTTTGGAGCAGCAGCCTCAGCGGCTCCTGTCATTCAGCGCTGGCCCTCTGGGCAGCAGGCACGAGGCTCCTTAACGCTCCCCGTCCAGGCGGAGTCAGAGACCCAGGGTGTCCTTGCATTTGTTCACCCCCCATTTATTAAGCAATATTTCAAGAGCGCGTGTTCATTACCGCCAGAGAGGAATTGGACTCCAACCTGCTCGACTTAAAAATACTTTGGCGGCTCAGAGTATGTCTGGGAGCAGGTCCAAGTCCTGGGCACGGCGCACGTTTCCTCCTGATCCGGCCCCTCCCCCCTCCCAGCCTCCCATCACTGCTCCCTGCTTCAGGCTTTACCCTTGCCAGCGGGCACACCCTCCCGCCTCTGCAGATCTCACTCTCTCTGCCAGGAAATGTCTCTCCTCCTCCCACGTCCTTCAGACCTAATGCCCACCCGAGGCAGATCCCGCCTGGAGACTTCCCGGAGGGTCCCGTCTGAGCTAAGTTCAGAGGAGCTGCTCCTCCTACGGGCGGCCTCAGCACCCTGAGCTTGTCCTGGTCATAGCTCTCACCCCGTGTCCTCATAGCTGACTCTCCCTCTCACCCACCTGACGGTGACAGGCCGTGGGAAAGCCGTGCCCCTGTGCCCACGGCCCAGCACAGCACCTGGCAGATTGTAGGCGCCCGATACATGCTTATCAACGCAATGAATGTTATTCACGATCGAAAAGTGTGGAGATGGGGACAACCACAACCAAGAGACAAGACACTAGAATCCCAGAGACCCAGACATCTGTTGTCAAGACTGAGAGACCTTCAGGAAAGTATTTCATCGCTTCTATAGCTCCTGGAGTCAGCTAAGGGGGTGTCCCCAGCCCTCCTTAGCTCCTGGGCTGTGTGACATTTCCTAAAAGTGACAAAGGCCTAATGTGCCTCCACCATGGGGAATAACTGGCAACTTAGAAGAAGATTGTTTGCTCCTGGAGACATTCTCTATGTTACTTCCAGGTTGCGTGTGACAGGCCTCGGACAGAATGTGTGCGGTATCAAGCCTACCAGCTTTCCCAAAAGATCTTACACAAAATAACGCCTTATAAAAAAGACTGATACGCTGCCATGTTCATGGATTGGTAGAATCAACATCATTAAAATGTCCATACTACTCAAAGCAATCTATAGATTCAATGCATTCTCCATTAAGATACCAACAGCATATTTCACAGACCTAGAACAAACTCTCCAAAAATTCATCTGGAATAAAAAAAGACCCCGATTAGCTGCAGCAATATTGAGAAAGAAGAACAAAGTTGGAATGATCACAATACCAGATATCAAGCTATATTACAAAGCCACTGTTCTCAAAACTGCCTGGTACTGGCACAAGAACAGACATATAGACCAATGGAACAAAACAGAGATCCCAGAAATCGACCCAAACCAATATGCTCAATTAATATTTGACAAAGGAGGCAAGAGCATACAATGGAGTCAAGACAGCCTCTTCAATAAATGTTGTTGGGAAAATTGGACAGATACATGCAAAAAAATGAAACTAGACCACCAACTTACACTATACACAAAAATAAATCAAAATGGATAAAAGACTTAAACGTAAGACAGGAAACCATAAAAATCTTAGAAGAATCCATAGGCAACAAAATCTCAGTCATATGCCGAAGCAATTTCTTCACCAATAAAGCTCCTACGGCATTGGAAATTAAATAGAAAATAAACAAATGAGACTACATCAAAATAGAAAGCTTCTGCACAGCAAAAGAAACCATCAACAAAACAACAAGAAAGCCCACTGCATGGGAGAACATATTTGCCAACGTTATCACTGATAAGGGTTTCATCTTTAACATTTACAGGAACTCATACAACTTAACAAAAGGAAGATAAATAATCCAATCAAAAAATGGGCAAAGGACATAGACACTTTTCGAAAGAGGACATACAGAAGGCCGAGAGACATATGAAAACATGCTCAAAGTCACTAATTATCTGAGATATGCAAATAAAAACAACATGAGATACCATCTCACACCTGTCAGACTCGTGCACTGCTGGTGGGAATGCAGACTGATGCAGCCACTCGTGCACTGCTGGTGGGAATGCAGACTGATGCAGCCACT